GGAGCTTCACTGGCCATCTTGATCACTCTGACTTTTTAATGTCTGAAATGTGGTCACTGGATAAGCTGCTGAAGCTCCCAGTTGCATTGCTCGTCTGCATTGTGCTTTCTCTTGACTCATAAAAATCCTGTCTCATAAAGTAAGCTTCTCATGGTTAGTCTATGGTGTCTACCCATTGCATACATATGTTTAAATCCATTTTCATCTACATTCACATCCAACTAGTGCACAGCATTTGCTTTGTAGTTCTGGCATAATAGCCACAAACCCTCTGATGCATTATGAAATCATATGTTTGTGGCCCTTTCTTTTCCTTGATGAATTTGAGTGTAATCAGATACATCACAGTCTCAGAGAAAAAAAAAAAAAAAAAGGAAAAAAAAAGAAAAAGAAAAAGAAAAAGGAAAGAAAAAGAAAAAGAAAAAGAAAAAGAAAAGAAAAAGAAAAAGAAAAAGAAAAAGAAAAAGAAAAAGAAAAAGAAAAAGAAAAAGAAAAAGAAAAAAAGAAAAAGAAAAAGAAAAAGAAAAAGAAAAAGAAAAAGAAAAAGAAGAAAAAGAAATAAGAGAAAGATGTCAAATGCTTAGAAGTCAGGACACATTTCATCTGACTTAAAATCCCATGAGTGGCAGCATTGGCATAAGTGGTTTGTGGTTATCTATTTCACATACACACAAAATGATATGATTCACTTTAAATGCTCAGCCTTTTTCCTTCTTGCACAAAACAATTCCTCTTGACTTTATACAGATGAATGAAGGAACTAAGCCATCGGAAGGCCAATGAGATTAGAAACATCAGGACTTGAAGCTAATATTTTAAGTTAACTAATGGTCAATAACTAGTGGAGCAGGAAAAGGTCAAAAAAATCAAATCAGGTTCTTCCTTCCCTTGATGTAATCAATACCCATCCGGATTTTTAACTTATTTTTATGAAGATAACATTTGAATGCTTTCTTTCTGCCTCTATTCACAACCATGCCAGTATGAAGAAGAGCTCAGGACTGTCAGCACAGGAGGAAGTTTTCTGAAGGCTGCCAAAGAGCTGAGGGCATAGGGAGAAGATAGAGCAGAGCTCACTCTGCCAAACAGGGCTCTTCTTAAGAAAAAACCCAGATGGAATAAAGCATCAAAGTTTCTTTGTTATCTAGAGAGGAGATTGGAGGGAAACCCATGAGACCAAGTTGGACAGGGATAGCCTGCCCGCCCACACACTTCAGATGAATTTTTAGGAGGGAAGTGAATACAAAATTTCAGGATTCATCGTCTCTTACCCCGAAGTAAGAGGTTAAAAGAATTTCATGTTAAACCACATGTCTCAGTAAAAGATTTCACTTTTATTTAGGTGGGTTTTTTCTCCTCAGTCTGGTAGATAAGAGAATGAATCACTGGAATTTCTGTACTTTCCATTTCTAAACAGTGGGAAGGGAGAGCTTGTTATTTCTAGCCGGATAAGCATTTGTAGTGGTTTCACTCTGCATATTCCCCTTCTGCAAAATCAGCTGCTCTTTGCCAAAGTTCAGAAAGCAAAACTGTCTTACCTAGAAGAGGACAGGCACACTTCTGAGAACTACAGGACCTCCCAGTACAAGCCACCACCTAGCCTGCTGGGATCATTGGCACAAAATACAGCCTTCTGCTGGAGACCTAATTTCTCTGCTACTTCCCAGCAAATAAGAAAGTCTGTCACTCAGACCACATCGATAGTGAAAACAAGAACTCCACACACGTGTCTTTGAGTTCTCCAGAAAAATCACTCAGGTTGGGCTTGACTGATTACCACCAATACCACTGACTTGAGTGAAAAGCCAGCCTTTGGCATGCAGAATATCATTGTGGTTCATATAGCTTTTCCTAATAACATGTTTCAGTGCTTAGGCAGGATGAATTGCAGAATGCATTTTTTATGATTTTGACAAGGCAGCAGAGGGGTGCTTTTCTGTTATGGGCTAAATGAAAACTTTTCAAAGTGTTGGTTACCAGCCCACAACCTTGCTCAAGGTATGATCCAAGACTGAAGCAAAGGGAAGTCTGTTGACTGATTGCAGCAGCTTTGAATCAAACCCTTGCTCTTTCTTACCCCTCTGTTCCATGACAAAAATGAGTAAAATCTACAATAAAATAAAATAAAATAAAATAGAAATAAAAATAAATAAAACAAAATAATCTAAAATGAATCAAAATCAATGTAAGAGCATTCCATGAATATTGAGCTGCTTATATGGTAACAGTGAAGGGCAAAATCATTAATTTAACTTTGCATCTATTTGAATATATCCCGTCTTGGCAAACTGCTGTGCTATATGGTGGATAACAGAAGCGTGCTTTTAAAATACAGGTGAAATGAGGTGCGTGAGACTACTAACTAACTGCAAAGTCTAAACACTCAAACTGCACATAATTTCTTGCTGTTCTGCTTAAAGTGGATCCTGTTCCTACTGAAATCAAGGATCTTATTGCCATTAGCTTTAGAACAGCAGTCTCAGACCGATTTTTCAGCTATTCAGAGGAAATATTTTGTCTGTAAATTGGCATGCCTCTCTGTATGTGGTGAATAGACAAGGCAAGATCTAGAAGCCTCTGCAATGGAGTGGCAGAATTACTCTGGTTGCAAACAGCTTTGACCTCAATCATGCAGCACGGATCTAGACCAGAAGTGATAAGGAAGATGTGCCTTCATCATAAAGGTGGGATGGCACTTTAGACCCAAGGGAAGTACCTAGCTTTAAAGAATAATCAGAAATATAGTGGCTTTTGATAGAGGCTAGAGTATTTACTGACAGACCAACCATAAAAATGACAGTAAAAGCTCAGTGTTAAAATGTTTGTCCCAGAGGGGCTATATAAGGGCTTTTACACACAACCATCCTGTGATTGCTTAACCTTTTGTTGATGACACTGAGGGATTTTCCCTTCTTTCTATGGCTACACATTTTTTTCTGATGCAGGAGGAATTTACCTGGGAAGGCAGGGAGGGGATAAATTTCTCTTACACAGAAGCTGACACATTAGCACTGCAAAAAACCACTTTACCACTCACAGAGAAAGTATTAGTATTATTTCCTTATTCAGAGCTATAGGGGTTCACATCCTTATTTTATCTAGAGAGACTTTGAGATCTCAGCGCAAGGCATTCCTGCCATTCTCCTTTTGAGTTTATAGCCCACAGATGCACTTTTATTGCTAAGCCACTTTACCTTAAGAACCAGTGTATTTATATTCAAAGCTGGAGACTGATATTCCAAGGAGAGGAAAAAGGACCAAGTCAGGTCTCAGGATTCCGCGTCTTGCCTCTGTCACAAGCTCCTGGATGACCTCCAGAAAGTTATGTGTGATCTTTGGTCCTTCTTCCCATAAAATGGGGAACATGTTCTTTTCTTTTACCATGTTTATGTGAATTGAAAAAAATCTTGAGCACAGACACCTTCTTGCATATGCCTCAGTGCTAAGAAGCTGTTTGGAGCCAGGGAGACCTCCCTTGACCACGCAGGTCAGGATGACTAAGAATTTCACACTGCCTGTATCTCCATTGCACACAGGGCTCAGTGTAAGACAAAATGTAAGGCAGTTGGCATAACCTGTAGTTGCCCAAAGTGTTGTGTTTGTTGTTTTTTTTTTGGTGGCTTTTTTCACTCACAGAGGATATAATTCCTTTGCTGTGCATGCAAGAACCTGGCTGCCATATAACTGTCCTTTCCATTGCTTATAGGTAATTCCCTAACTATGTCTCCTAATTCAAACAGGAAGGCTTGGCTCAAGCCTGAAATGACTCAGGTCACTCTGTTATGTCAGAACACAGCACGTACCTCAAATGTTGCCTTGCTCTCTACATACGTCTGTGCTCAAGTCGGGCAGTGTGTTGCTGAAAAAATTTGTCTTTCTCTCTATGACTCAGAGGTAAATAGTGTGGGCCATTTCTATGGATTTTACCTGAGATTTCAGGTGCTTTTCCTCATCTGTGTTAAATCCCTTCAGTATGGTCTAGGGCACTTTCCATTGTTCAAATTAAAGCAGTGCAAAAGGGAGCTAGTAGGACCAAAGAGGGGCAGAAGAAGAGACGTGGCTGTGTAATCCAGTGGTGGTAACAGTCAGGTGGAACAAAGGTGTTCTGGCTTCTGGTCCTTGCTCTCAGACCTTTGTAGTTTACCCAGTACCTATAATCCACCCAGCTGACATAGAAAAGAAAAAGCACATCAGTCCCGTACTTAGCTCCACTTGGAATAAGGACTGAGGCTCACCTGCAGCTGTTATGGAGTGGAAACCTCTTCTCCCTCTTCTTTCTGCAAGTCTGGTGCTGTAACATGCCCTTACTGCCTTGCATGTACAAAACCTGGGCTCCTTCAGTACCTGGATGGTTGTGCAAGATAATGGCAATAATTACATGCTGCACACTTGTAACTCCTTTCATGGATGGCTTACAGAACTCCTTAAAAACATCCATTCATTCTCACAACATGCCTGGCAGGTAGATAAGGGTTATTATGCACACAAGACATTATTTATTGCGAACTGAGAGGCAGTACTCTATTGCTGGTACACCAAAGATAAATTACTTGCCCAGGCAAAGCCTGGAAGGGAACTTAGGGTTGCTCCAAACCATGTGTTTCAATCCCTGGGCCAAAGCAGTTCTTTCAAAGTTATTCAACCTGGCAGAAGTTAAAGCACTCGCTTATGCCGATGCGATAAATCTTGGACTCCTGGTTTACCACGGTGCGGGTGAGAGAAGAAGTGGAGCCTGGAGAAGGGCTGATAAGGCCCTTGGTGCTCCCTGAGCTGCTCCCGGGTGCGCGCATGTGGTTCAGCTCCTGCCCCCCCGGGGGGAGTGCTTCTTCTAGACTGCGTGATGAGTCAAGGTATTGTGGCCGAGACTACAAGCATTGGCTCTGTCACCGAGCAGACAGACAGACATTCAAAGAAACCACAGCCCTCTGGTTTCTTTGCCCTTGTTTGCTTAATCAAATTCAGGTTGTGTGCGCGCACAGGCATTTTTCACCCACAGCACAAACAAATGCTCCTCAACACCTGAGGGTGGCTGGCTCTCAGAAATGCCTCTGGAAATGTGACTCACAGAAGAAGTAGCGGGAGGCTCCTATGGCATTCGCTCTGACACGGGAAAGATCATTCCCTCTTACTGTAAGTGAGCTAATTATATTACTGTAAATCTCACTCTCACATTTTCAGCTACCTCCGCATCAGCTTACAGGCTTCACTTATGTAATTGTGGAAAACTTTCTACCAAAGATTCCTTCTTAATGCCACGTTGTTTGCAGAAGGTTTGAGTGTGAGCGTAGGCGGGGACGGGAGGCTTCAGTGCAAGTCGTAGAATGCACTTCTTTGACTGAAAGTGGTACCTTTTCTAAAGGTCAGGAGGACACAGATTTGTGCATTAAATTGCACCACAAACCCATAAGAATAACAACAAAAATCAGCAAGATGAGAAAGGAAATAGTTTTTATTTTCTGTGGGATAAATCCAGTTTACATCAAAGTTGTGGATGCTCCATCTCTGGAAGTGTTTAAGGCCAGGCTGGATGGGGCTTTGGGTAACCTGGTCTGGTGGGTGGCATCTCTGCCCATGGCAGAATGTTGGAGGTAGATGGTCTTTATGGTCCCTTACAACCCAACCCATTCTGTGATTCTATGATGCACAAATAGGCCAAGTTTTTTACCCCTCACTTTCAATTAAACACAATATTCCCTTCTGTGTCCTGCCTCAGTCTTGCCTACTGCCCCTGACCTTATCATTAGGCGGTCCTGGCTACATTTCAGGGGTTCATGTCTTACCACCTACAGGTGCAACCCAAAAGCCAGCTCTTCTCACATAACCCCCCACTAACATGGTGAGAAGACCTGAGACTTTGGTCAGGCGCATTTGATACGCGAGGGTGCAGATAATGAGCTGAGATCAGTGAGCACTTTGGGGATAAAGGGTACACCATAGCTGTGCCAGCTGTGGTCACTATAGTGAGCTGGGTTAGGCCTCGTTAAGGCTGTAGGGGTGTAGAAGCGACTCTGCCATTTGGGGTAACGAGGCAGCAGGTAATGTCTGCTCTGCTTGGAGATAGGGAAGGAAGGAGAGCAGTGCCTGCAAGCCCTGCTCTCACTGAGGCTCCTCGACACCACTGCACCTTGAGGGGTTTCAGGGAACAAAATACTGACACTGATGGATGCGGCTATGTGTGCCAGCTCCTGATGGAGCAGCCAAGGGGAGTATCAGAAGGACAGAAGAACCACGGACACAGTGAGAACAACACTATGAGCTTGTCCTGAGAACATCTGAGACAATGCCCGGGGCAAAAGGCTGACTGGAAAACAAACCTGCATGGCAGGAGAAGACTCAGGGCACGATTACACAGCCCAGTGCCCCTGGCTGGCACCTTTCCACCTGTGCACCCAGCTGGCCTGGGAGGAGAGCCTGAGCTCTTCTGTGCTGCCCCTCTGAGGAAGCTGTTGTGCTCAGCTGGCCTGGGTCCAGCCACCTCGCAGCCCATGCAGAGCAGCCTGTCCGCACCTGATCGAAGGCATGTCTACACAGCCACTGAACTGCTCCCCTTCTTATTTTTCATTTTAATCCCTGCTGTGTTCAGAAACTAAAAGGAAAAAGGAACATTCCTTGTAAATAAGGTAGAAAAGCTCAAGCAATTGACACCACCATATTCCCCATCCAACTGCAGCAGCCCACTGAGCTGTGCGTTTGACATAGATGGCTGTTGTGTAGAAAGGACAATGTTATTTGAAAAATATGGTTTCTAACAGAGCACAGAACTTGATCCATTGCCTAGGAATCCAAATGGCAATAGGCCATAAACAAGGGAGGGAAAGGGTCACTCTAGCCCATTCTTCTAAATTAAAAACAAGCAAAGAAAAAAAAAATAATGTTGCAGAACATCAACTGAGGAACTAACACCCGAGTCCAGGAAATTGTCAGACAAAGCAACTACAATTTATATGTACCCCTTGCTGCTTGTTAGGATTGTGTCCCTACACTTGCACCTCTGAACAGTGTCCACATGCAGACACTGGTCAAACTAAGGAGGGTTGAAGAAGTCATTGTCTGAGGCTGGCACCAAATGGAGGCATAAACAGGGGATTTGTGCCAATGCTGTGCCACAGGAAGAGGGAATAGAAAGCTGTCGTGACAGCACAAGCAAGAAGAGTCTGAAAGCAACCTGAAAGGCACATAGAGTATGTGTTTAAGCTCTGAGTAAAGCCTTTTTCCTGTAGCTTTTATTGCCTCTATAAATGCCTGATGAAGAATGTTACATTATGCTGTTTATAAACTGTAACACAGTTCATACTCTAAAGAAATGAGTTTTTTTGTGTTGCTGTTGTGTTGTTTTGTTGGTTTTGTTTGTTTTGTGTGTTTTTGTTTTTGTTGTTAATAAAAACAACAATAGTTGATCATATTTCATCCTGTGAATACTTCATAAGAAGATACACAATACATAAGCTTTCTTTAAATTGTGTTACTGAATTTGTATACACAGGTATTCTAATTCATCCATCATTTTGTATTTGATCTGGCTTACACTTTATAACTCACACATGAAAATTAGGGGCCAAATAACATAGAAGAAGGCACTACTTAGGGCCCAGCCCTTCTCCAGTTGAGTTGAACTATGGTGTGTTTTTTTTGTGTGTTTTTTTTTTTTTTTTTTATCTTCATAACCTTTAAAGAATACCTAGGCTCAGGATGCTTTGTGCTAGCTGAGGAGCTAGCATTTACTTCTTTAAAAAAAGAATAATACTTTGTTGATCACAGTCAAGATTTACTGTTCTTCTTTTGCAAGGTACATATCACAGGAGTCACCACCTCTGCATCCGCAAATGACACAGAAGAATGCATCTAAAGAAGTGGGGACATTTGATGTTCTCTCCTCCCACACCAAACTCCCATCCGTTCATGAGGTGAGTAACTGGAGATCTCAGATGGCCTTTAAGAATTAAGTTCAAAGATCAGAAAGCAGAAGAAGGACTCGACATCCATTGTGAGCCTGAAGTTTTTAACACCCCCTACCCCTCCTTCATGATTTTGAGGGACTAACAACAGGCCTGCAAGTTGTTGACGTGTTGGTACCGCGCCAGCAGGAATGGCTGAAGGAGAGGCCATCCCTTGTGATGATGGCACCTCCTCTCTCAGGCAGTTGGATGTATCTGTTCTGCCCATGAGGCACTGGCAATATGTCTCTCCCAAAGCCAAGTTTCTAGATTCCTATGAGTCACACTACTCTCTTATTAAAGGAGCAGATATTTTTAGAAATTTAACAGGATCAAACAAATGGTGCTACTCTTTGTTTTAGGTCCACAATATGCTCTAACGTCTTTGATCCCTTAGTTTTTCAACACCCTTTTAGATGTGCAAATGTGTTGTAAGTCAACACACAGTTCTGGATTGTTTAATTGTTCAAGAGGGAGGTATGGAGATTATGGCCAGAAAAGTATAAATATGGAAAAATCTCTGTAAGGCCTGAGCATTGATAACAAACTGTTTAATCCTTTTGTTTATTTGTGACAGACCTATGCTCTCTTTGTTTTACCAGATTTAGAACATCTAGAGACAGAAAGAAAATAAGTGCACTAAGGACATAAAATGAAGACAAAATATTTTATTATCAAATTTAAAAAAAAAAAAAAAAGACCTTGTTTAATTCAGCACTTTCTTATTCAGCTGGGATGAACCTAACTAGAAGTTTAGTTTTCTAGCTGAAGCAGGGCCGTATCTAAAAACATTACTCAAAATATATTAAGATCTACTACTTATCTTCATTTCAGAGTTAACAAGCATGAAATCTGTCTGACCAGTTTAAAATCTGTACAAGAATACTATGACAAATCACAATCAGCTGTCACATTTGCCTGTTTTATGTTTTCATTGTTCATTATCTGTGACCATTTATTCAAGCCAAGTGTTGCTGTATGAATGTTGGTTTTCATTTAACCAAGAAAATTGCTAGGATCAAGTAACTATCTAAACACTTGTTGCAAAGATTGATGGATAAAGTGTATCTCCAATAAATTCAAAGCTGTAATATAGCCCTAACGCTGTGAAAGAACAAGAAATTTCTGTTTCCATAGGAATTCTATGAAATTAACGTTTACTTTGGTTTAAACCAGAATGAAAACAAATGAATTGCCATGACTGAAAAAAAAAAGTTCTATCACAATACTTTTCTTTCTGTGACAGAAAGCAAATTACAGTTTGAAACTAAAAGTAGCTTTGCAAAACACCTCCTCCCCCATAGCTTCCATTCCAGAAATGTTGAAATGGAATATTTTGACCTTCTCACAATACTTCTTCCCAATTTTTTTCCCCCAAACAAAAGGTTGTGAAAATCAACATGCCTCAGAGAGCAGTTTTGGTTTGACAAAATGGCATTTTCTGATGGAAAAAAAACATTCCATTGGAAAAATTTTTAACCAGCTCTAGCAATAACTCTGGATTTCACACTCTGGGCTAAATTCACAACCCTTCACCCTCTGAAATGAGCTGGAACACTTGAGAAGTAAGGAACTAATCAGGGGAAAGAAGCACCCTCCCAGTATGGTCTGGAGACTACAGGGGGGCCTACTGGAATGGATCCGCACAGGCAGGCTGCTGTACGGGTTCCCATGGTGTCTGGTCCCACCAGCCCAATTACAGGATCAGAGGCAGATTTGTAAGAGTCAGATTTTTTATTATTATTATTTTTTTTTTTTTCTGAGGAAATAGCTTCATTTTGTTTTGTTTCTTGCTGTTCTTGGCATGAAAATCATGTTTTATTGGTATGAAATACAAGTCTGTTTTGACACTTGCGGAGACAACGCAGACAGAGAGAAACATCTTTCTAGCTATAAACTGAAGTTTGTATGCCTTGTAAATAGTTTTTTATTGCCCATATAATATAAAAGAAAAAAAAAAGAAAATTTGCTACAAACACAGATAAGTTATCTATGTCTTGCTGTGTACTTTCCTCTGTCTTTCAAAACAGGAACGTGGTTCACTGAGAGCATCTGATCCTTTCGTGTACTTCAGCACATGAGGCAATAAGCAAATCCCTGAAATCTGAGCACAGCTTCAGCGTATAGCTGTGAAATGTTGCCTCCGATCAGGTTGGGGAGGAAGTTCCTTCTCCCCATGCCTGCCAGCAGCAGAGACAAGACAGTCTCAGTGTCTCTTTGACCTGAAGTGGCTCAAAACCATGGGACTAATAAAAAGAGTCTGGAGGTTTGATCTGCGCTGTCAGAAAGCCATCGCCCCTACTTTAAGTTACTTTTGATCTACCGTAAGAGCTACAATGTACAGGGCTGAAGCCAGCACATTTTTGTCTTGGAAGAGACACAGATCTCTTATCTGCATGTTGCTCCCATATCTAATACAGCATAAATGCAACTTTCATCCTATAAGGACTTGAGGCTAAAGCAGGCAGGAAACAATGTTTTCTATCTCTGAAAACTTTTCTTCTCTCTCTCTTTTATTTTTTTTTTTCCCCAGTAAATCTGTACCTCATTAAGATGAATCAAATGTCTTTAAACCCTTTTCTCACACACACACTACAGACTTAGCACCCAAGAGAAGGGAGATGCAGAAACCTCAAGAAATCACATTGGAAGACTGAACGGCTACATCTGAACCCAAGAGCAGAGTGGTGCTGGGGCACTCTCCAGCTCTGTGGCACCTTCTGGCCACAGCCACTCTGCTGCATGTCCCAGTCCCCTGGAGCAGGGCCTGAGGCCCTGGGGCTCTGACCCATGTGGACTCCTGAGCAACGCTAGCAGACCTGGGCTAAAATTGTGCCAGGGACCTTCATAATGTTTTAATAGCATGACTAAGTCCCAGCACCCTAGTCCACAGCACTGACAGTACACAACACTGTGTAATTTACTGGTAGAGTTGTACTTGATCAGTCCAGGAGACACTCTGAAATCTCCCACCTAAGCTTTGTTTCTCCAAGCCGTTGGTGCTTCTGCTTTAAGTTGTGTTTTAAAACTTGCTGACATTGGTTGATCCAAAGTTATAACTGGAGGACACTTTGTGCCATGACATGTTGAGGGCTCCACATACAGTCAGCTATTGTTATTTAGGATAATGGGAGGCAGAGTTTTGCCTAGGTAATAGAAAATCTTGTATGGGCTCTGTGGGATAGAGTGAAAAACCAGCTGGCTATGACTAATCTGCTCAGGTCTACCAGGCTGATTCCAGCTCTGTTGAATTCTGGTAGTTTTCTGCAATGTACTTTAAATATCATTGTTGGATACTCACTTTTCCTTTAGGTTATGGAAGAGTTTTTCCATTGGTATACAAATATTCTATTTATTTGCAAGAGGTAGCCATTACAAACAAACTTTTAAGAGTATTTTTTCAGAGCTGGGGCTCCAGAAATACTCATTTCTTTGTGAAACTTAAAGGGAACCTTGCAGAACTCTGCACTTCACCCACACACCGTGGATTTACCTTTTTTTTTCTCACCAAAAGAGCATGGGAGTACTGTCTTCTCTTCCCAGAAAATTGTAGTACAGTTTTGTCTCCTCTCCCACACAATGAACCTATCTTTGCCTTGAGCTCCTGAGCTTAAAAAGTTCTTGTCCAAGTTTATCCTGATGAAATCCTCTGGTATATTCCCGAGGCTTTTCTGCCTCCTTGCCAAATGTTAATTGGTACCTGTTCCTGTACATTTTAATACTCTCTTCCATAGCTGTAGAGATTAACCTCAGTATGTTTCCTAGCTCCCAGCCCTTTCTCTTAGACTTTGACTTTTCTTCAGAAGCCTAACTGGGACCTCTCTTCCAAGGCTGTGTGATCTTGGATGGCTTCCCTTGCTGCAAAATATTTAACTGATAAGGGCACGGATTACTATATGGTCCCTACAGGTCTGGGAGTGAGCTCACTGAGAGCCCAGTGTTCACCTAACTTGCTTTTTTCAGAGAAGCCACCCCTCTCTGGTCTATGACAAGCAACCCTGGGTGACTTATAAGCACCTCACTCTTGGTCTGTGTCGAATCTATGTGTGCACATTCCCAAGTCTTCAGAAGAAATATAACCACATCATCAATTATCTGTCTTCCTCCAATGACAAGTAGAGAAGACCAGTTATGTGAAGCTCTGTCAGCCTGAAAGTTGATGCAGAATAGATTACCAAACTGTTTACTACCTTTCTATAGTATAATTTGTATACTTTCTAATGTATAGTCTCTCCCTGTGCATTTTGGCTTCCAATCTTAAACAAAAACTCCCATTCTACAATAATGAGAATGTGTATAAACCCTATTTATCTATATCATTATAGCTTTTATTTGGACAACTCATGAGGTTATTGTCTGATGCGTTTAGAGCCTGACCATTATCTCTTAAAAGACTGCTTGTGCCTGTTCAAGCATGTGGACCTGAGCTGCCAGTCTAAGGCTCAAGCAACGCTAGTAAAAATTATACTTTGCTGGCTGTCAGTGATTCACTCCCAAAATATGAAGCATGAGAAACTGAGATGAAAAATAAGTAAAACATCTTTCAGGTACAAATCATAGAAATCACATTTAAGAAGAGACATCTCAGCACCAGTTTTAAACATATACTATCTAGAAATCAGAGCTGTATCTCAAACTCCTGTGCTGAATTTAGCCCTTTCACAGAGGCAGAAACCTGTATCAAATGGACATTTCCCAACTTTTCAGTGGAATGTCGTACCTCTCTGAAGGCTTGAGTACAACATCTTGGGCTCCAGCTGCAACCACTGCTCCAAGGATTATTCCCCTGGCACAGAGGTGGGCTGGTACAGAGACTCAGGAATGAGCAGTGGTGGTGTTCACTGGCATAACGTGGGAGATTCACTAATATCATCACCAAGGACTTGTTTATACTTAAAAACTGACAGAGGTGTAATTAGATTTACTTAAAGCCAGTGTAGTTACATCACTATGAAACTTTGGTTTAATGG